CGCAGATGAGCAGGCAGCTAGGTATTTTGTCCAGCAGAGGAAATACCCAATTCTATGTACTGGTCCGTAATGCAGAGGCCTTGGTGTGGGCCTCCTTGGACAGCACCGACAACACACACAGAAGAAACACATTCCTGCAACTCCAGAGGGACCGTCCCCAAGGCTCCTCCCTGGTCTTCAAAAATACAAAACTCAGGAGACTGAGGAACCAGCCCTCAGAGCTCCTTTCTGAAACAAGGTGAGACACGACAAATTAAAACCAAAGAAGTCTCATCACAGAGCTAGTCTTAAAGAGGAAAAAAAAAATCATCAGAACAACTTTGGAATCACCGAGGCAGAGATGTAAAGCCAGCAGAGTGGGACACAAAGAGAAAACAGGCCCACCCCCATCTCGGGGAGGTTCGGGGAAGAACCCCACCCCTGCCATCAGGTCACAATGGCTGGAGCTCTTAAGGGTCCCAGGGGCCCTGAGCCAGGAGGAGTGGAGGAAGTCCCAGGAAAGACGGTGAGTGTGAGGGCTAAGGGGCCACAGCCTCCTTCCTTATAGCTCCTGGCTGCTCCCTGTTCCCTCCCCTAGCACCTGCCAGCTGTCCTAGAGAAGGAACAATGACATTCACCGTGGTGTACCCAGATGTCCCTGGAACTGTGACATCACATAAACACATAGCGTCAGAGGCCACCTCCTCTTCCTCATACCAGTGAGCATTGCTGCCTCTTCCTTTTCTCCTCCCAGGAACAACTTACCCAGAGAAACAGTGCTCCAGGACTGCTCACTCCCTGCTTCCTGCCGTATTACCACACTGCACTGCCTCATCCATCTTGCAGGCCCTTCCTTGCTCCCGAGTTCCTCAGCAAGACAGCCTGCCCCCTACTGTCCACGGGGTCCTAGACCCCAGCCTGACATTTGCCCTGTCTCAGGTCCCCTGGACTACGGCTGCCCTAATGCCTGAGCTCTTTTCTCCCTAACAAGCTGGCACTCACCCCTCCTTCAACCTGCCAACTTCACCCAGTCATCATGGCTGGCCCTCCACTCCGCCCAGCCTCCCCCCGGCACCTATACTGCCACCCATGAGTCTGCTTGTGGCCAGGCTGGGCCCCTTCTCCCCGGCGTCTTACCAGATTTCCCACTTATCCTTGCTGGAGCTGCCCATCTGTTGATGCCTCTTCTACCTCCCCTTTGCCTGGCCCCTGCCTGTACGCCCTCACTCAGGTGATGCCTGCTGGCAACACTGTCCTGGTCCACAAAAGTTTTTCCATCATCTGCTCTGTTCTCCTCGCCCTCTGTCTCGAGAGCCAGGGTCTCACTCACTAGGACTGGTATGGCCTAGTGGGCAACTCCGTGGGACTCATCATCATTGTGGGACCTGGACTAGGGATAATACCACCGAGGGGACGAAGGGCCTCTGCATGGCTCTGAGCTATGTGCTCGCTTTTCTGGGTGGCCTGGCACTATCGCTGGGGCTTCCCCTCCTGCCTACCAACAGTGCCTTCCTGTTGGGCTTGATGGACCCGGTGGGCTGTGTACCAGGCCTTTCTCCTTTCCCCTGCTGCCCATTGATCCTCTCCTCTGAGCTGGAGCTGTGTGAGGGCAGTGGTGATCTTTGCTCTGGTCTCCTGTGTGTGAGCTATTCGGTTACCAAGGTCCACCCTGCCCTGGTGTGCACTATCCTGCACTCTGAGGTGGTGGTGGCCCCTGCGATGCTGCAGTATTAGGTGCTCTATGAGACTGTGGCACCTTTTCTTTTATTTTCTATTTATTTATTATTTTTAAAAATGTTTTTATTGATTTCAGAGAGAGGAAGGGAAAGGAAAAGACAGAAACATCAATGATGAGAGAGAATCATCAATAGGCCACCTCCCACACACCCCCTACTGGGGACCGAGCCTGAAACCTGGGCATGTGCCCTGCCCAGGAATTGAACTATGCCTGGTTCATAGGTAGGTTGACACTCATCCACTGAGCCACACCAACTGGATGAGTTGGAGATTTTTTTAAAACTCCAACTAGTAATTAAATGGCTGGGGACATTTAAGTTTAATTTATAAGGTCTTATTTATTAGATGATAAGTACTGATAAAATAGAGACATGTTAATTTTCCATTTAAATGACCA